TTAACTAAATTGTTTACAATTACAGTTCAAATTTATGTTAATACTAATTGGAACGTTCGATTGTGCATCATATTATATCTTTCCTTATACCTAATTATATAAACCGGATTTTTTGATAGACCACCATTATTATTGTAACTTATTAAMATTTTGATAATAGAAATCAGCACATATTTTATTAAAACATTAAATTCAAAATCTGAAAACAATCAGTAAAATTTTATAAATATCACAACCCATAATATGTGATAATACAATTATACTTATGAATGAGTTACCAAATACTTTTAATAATTGAATAATAGGTAAGTACTCATAAATAAATCAATATTTACTTATATTATAAATAATAAGGGAATAGTAATATAAAATGAGCAATTAAGATTGTCAAGAAACAAAAATACAATTAGTATTTTTAATAGTTTTAAAACTATACAAATAAATAGGTATAACATATAAGTTGCCAAAAAAACAAATTTTTCAAYTGAACATTTATGATTTACCTTTTCAACCCTTGAACTTAATTTTACTTAATGAAGTGGTAACACTTGCATTTTATTATTGGCTAAGGTGGTGGTGCATTGCCAGATATAATTGGCAAAAATCTAAATTACCAAATCTACTTTTAAATATTCAGTAATGCTTTAAATAAGTCCTTTCAGGMACTGAACAATAGATCTAGAGAAAAACCATACAACTGCTATTTCCACTACAAATAGGATTAAATCAATAATTGCTATAGAAAAAAACAAGAATTAATCAATGTAAATCTACACATCTATAGACAACCATATTTTATATACCCATTTTTATTGTGTCTGCATTAATACAGAAAATAAGTTTTTGATAATATGATTAATAGTACCTAGATAAATATCCACATATAATTAATTCGATAAAATAAAAGTAAGAACTAWTACAATAAAAACATTAAAAAGGATACCAGCACCATGGCTTGGACTGCTTCTTCTTTTTGCGACCCATATCCTAGTTGGTGTGTCTGAACAACAGCTGCTTTGCGGYACGGAAAGCGTATTACGAAAATCTTACGCTATTTCAACAGCACGCAAATGTCATCGCGCGGGAATCGTAACAACAGTGATGAAACAACTAAAATAAAGCGTTGTTGTTGTTATTATTATTACAATATTTAACGCAACATGTACTTATACGAACTCGCTCTTCTTCAATGGCTCAATCACCCGTAGGATATTAGTTAAGAGACGGAATAACGTATGGGAAGCGACGAAAAATACAACTATACACTATACTGTTTACACTGGCTGAGAGCTGTTTGTTTTGCCGATTTGCGATTTTACTTAATTTATTTTATCATGACGGACGAAAAGGGGAAATTGTAGTGACCAGTGTGCTTGTTTTTCGTGCAGTTCGTGCACTATGCAGTACTGACTACTGAGTACTTGCAGTTGTAGTACTGTACTACTGTAGTAACTAGTAGAAGTASTTGTAGTAGTAGTTAGAGACGGAATAGCATCGAAATTACGAGATTAAAAAAAATCGAAGTCAAAATTTCGTCGCAGCACGCACACAAGTAGGTACATAATATTACAAAACGCTCACACACGAACATCACACAAATCATGGAAGAAAAAAACAATCGTTTGATCAAGTGGATCAGACGGATCCTTCCATGGCATCRTTGTTAAGTTTGCACCATTGCGGAATTGCGGTTCACCAATCGCTACTGACCGTCTAGACGTCGACGTGTCTAGCACTGACTCGCTAAAGTGTAATGTTGTTCGTTTGTAAAAATTTTAATTTAAACATAAAAATGTTATTTTTTCGAAAATTAATGAAYCAATATTTACACTAAAACTCTATACTATACGACCCCAGCGATAACTGCTGACCATGGATAAACTTTAAAATTCGCTTCTGTGGCTGCACTGTTTGAGAACAACAGTGATAGAATATAGATCTTGGGTAACGTGATGCTCGGTCCACAAGGTGCAAGGTCAATCAGTGCATCCATCTGAAATTCTGAACACCAAGTCACCAACACTGATTGAGTCGATCGACATTCGACATTGGTCTGGATGAGCGCCGAGCGGACACTGGACAGCCGAAAGCCAAAGCCGTGTGCCGACAGGCGCCAGACCAGCCGCCAACAGCTGTACGTTCAGTCATTGACTCATTGTGTAATTGTGTTGTACGCACTCGGGCACTCGTAGTTCGTACGCCGTATGGTGTTCACATCTCATATTCTGATGTCGGAGGCTGAGATTATATTGTATGATTGTCCGTAATGCTGACTAGTATAATATGATCTGAGCGTTAGGGAGTTATAGATTTATGGTTGGATGTGCCAATTGACACGGCTCGTCAGCTGCGTTGGCCATTAATTGTATTACATTTTAATTTTTAGCGAGTTACTGTCACACTTGTCCGTAATCCGCCATTGCGCAGTTGTGCAAAGCTGTGCGCGCGTGCGCCCGTTAGCCGCCGGACGACCAACGCCGAGACTTCTCTCCGCTGCCGCWCAAGCACTGCTTGCCGAAAGGGTGCAAAGTGCGTTTTTTCATTTTTCTCTCCAAAGCGTCCGCTGTCAAGCACTCGTTTAATGGGTCGTTTGCAATTATAATTTGCTTTTTATTTCTTGCTGGTCATTCCTCGTTGTCTACGCAGCCATTGCCGTCGCGTCGAGTTTCAACACAAGCTTCGTCGACGACGTATCAGCCAACTGAGCAGATCCCGTGTGATTCGCACTCTTCTTCCGGTAAGTGATAAAAAACCGGCTGAACTGTAACATACTGACTGTTACTGCCATACTACCATCTTTTGTGATTTTTTTTTTCTTCGAATTCTGGCCATTCCGTCTATATAGTTTGTTTAACTTAGTGGACCGTCCCCGATCAATATTATCGATATCAATAAAAACCCGTCAAATGACAATGTCAATAAATATCAAAACCATTTTGATCTTTTCCATATAACCAATACACTGTCAATAATATTGTCAATGTCGAATATTGATTGTGTATAGGCCAYTCAAGTACTATCCCATATATAAAGAGGGAGGAGAGAGTAAGAGATATATTTGTAGACATAAATGATTAAATTATTATTGTCCCTCTCGAGCAACAGTGGCCATAAATTTTGTGAGAAAATATATCTGAGTAATCTTTTATTATGTATTATATGGGCTATTTCTTCCCATCTTGACATCTGTRGTTGATCAAAATTTTTGTTTTTATGAGGGTAACTATAAGACTACATGTGTCTGTCTCATTGGTGCAGGTTTTCCTTCTCTCAAGTGAACATCATTGTACAGTTAGTATTTACAATAATTTTGAAACATTTTTTTTACTCCTATTAAATATAATGTACATACCTAGTGCACATATTCTAAATATAAACAATATTTGGATATCAATATTTCCGTTCTAGGTTCTCCATCATAAAGTGTAACTTTAACCTATGATTAATGGTGTAGAAATTTTACTGTAGTTTTACCATAAGGGAATATTCATAGTGAATAATGCTACCTATATTTTAAATATGTAAACTGTACCTTCATGCAATAACTATTTTGTTTTATCATAAATATATTATTATGTTCCATATTGTTAAAAATAAGTTGCTATGAAAAATGAATCATATTTTATTTATTTATTTTATTCCTTATATGTGTCATATGCTGCTTGCATTAAAATTGTATATTTTAGGTAAAATGTTTTGAAAAATAGTATTTACATGAAAATGGTCTTGTTGTCTTTGTTTTAGTTAATAAATTTCAACAAGGTGATTGACAATGCCGAGAACTAGCCGTAAGAGGAATAATCGTCGTAATGAAAGTACAGTTAGGGTTACTTCCAATTTATCACCAAATGCTCCAGAATTTATTCCAATCGGTAAATCAATATTATAATGCTTTATTATCATTTTATACTATAGAACCTTGATGATCCAAATTAATTAGAACCTCACGTCCTCACCTAGTTCAGATACTGGATATTATTTAGAAAAATTATTTATTTTTTTCAAATATACAACTATATATAATCTCATAATAGGTACATAGAAACATATTATATAATGGTATTTTTTCTCCAAAATTCAAGTAATCTAGGATCTCCTGTATTTATAGATTTATATTAACCTGTCCTAAACTTAGCTTATGTAWTTTATTGTGATTAACAATTATATTTTTATATCTATACCTACCTGTTGTTTTTTCAGCTAAAATTTTAAAATTGATTTGAATGTTATACATGTAATCTTAAGACTTCAAAAATATCTTATTAGGTACTTACTTGATTGTATGTTTTATTCTCATTATAATTTTAAATAAATATATAGGTTTGTGAATATTTTTTTTTTTTTGTTCTATTTATTTTATATTTGTATTTATTTGTTCATATTTATTGTATAGCAAACAATGAAACTAGTGATAATCAGAGAGAAAATGTAGTTATTCAGTCAATGGCATTTTTTGGAAGTTCCAGCACATCAAATAGTAGCGGGTAAAATTCATTTATATATTTAACTATTAATTTTACTTAATAATTTTTATGTTTTAGGAGTCATTCTAACTCTAACTACGAAACTACTACTACAATTTCTACTATACCAGATGCGTTAAAAAATAAGGGTCAACGAGATTTGCTTATTAATCTATTGAATGAAAGTAAAGTAGATTGTGTGATATGCTATGAACGGGCTAAAAATGTTGAACAGATTTGGAATTGTCGTAATTGTTACCAAATTATGCATTTAAAATGCATAATAGTTTGGTTCATTAAATCTCATAGTAGTAAGTAATATTTAGTGCTTTTATAAAATACTCTGTTGCAAACCTGTAAAAYACCTATTATTATTGTAGTCCATTAATTGATTTTTGTCCTATTTTTTTTTTTATACGCATCGGGTTGCAATACTAATATATAAACTATACTGGCTGAAAAAATAGTGTTGTCTAAAATGCAACCTAACACAAAAATTCACATTAGCACAAATTTGTAATGTATTTACATACTTACATAATTTGTATTTGATAAACTATGTGTATTTTTGCCCTATATGCAACTTAATTTTTTAAATAATATGGCTTACTATCTAAGAAGGTCAATAAAAAACCTTGAAGAAATAGTGGATTTTAGATCTATAGCTTAATTYCAAAATTATATCAAAAGTAAATTTAATTTAAAGGAGCACTCAACACAAAAAATGAGATTTTTTTTTATTTGAATAAATATTAAATTCTAAGAATAATGGAATATTTTTTACATTTCTACTCACATTATCGAATAAGTTATGATGAATTAAAAAAAGACGTATTACATCATTAGGCTCACTCACCGTAATTGCCTATCTTATAAGTGTAAAAGTTCCTCATTTCTCATTACGATTTACCAACCTAAATATTAGAGATGTTACGAATTGTTTGATTTTCGAACCGAACTGGAAATTCCAAATAATTGAACCGAACCAAATATCTACTAGTACCGTTCAATAATCGAACCAGAGAAATAAAAATAAAAGTCGATGGAATAACGGCTAAAATTATAAATTATTATTAAATAATTAATAATTAATAGATTAATATTAGTTGTTTAATGTTTGCTTGTTTTAAATATTGATGTTTTTCGCTTTTTCTCATCAGTTATCATCTTATTAATAATTAAAAATTAAAAATCTCATGCATAATAATTATTAACTATTAAAGTATTTAAGTAAATAGTAGTAAAATATTTATTCAATAATTCTGAAGTATGGTGGCTAAATGATAAATAAATAATAAATATTAAATAAAATAATATCCAATTTAACTTTTAATTTTGGGTTCAATTAAAAGTGTGTAGGTTCGGATCTGTTAGAGTTCGTTAATTTAAAGAAAAGTTCTGTTCGGGTTCGGTTCGACCTTAAATATTATGGTTCGTAACATCTCTACTAAATATTTAGTTTTTGAAATTTAATTTACAAATTAATGTGTGGTTTTGTATATTATAGATGATGYAATGATCAGAATTTCAATATGACTTGGTTTTTTCAAATATTAAAAATCTTATAAGAAAAATTTTTGTTAAATGCCACATCATTAGATAGTGGTAGCCAGTAGATTTGTTATTCGATTACTGCTCGCCATAATGTGCCATTCAACAAAAATGTCTCTTATAATGTTTAATATTTGAAAAACTTAACGTTATATTGAAATTTTGATACTCGCATTGTCTTTATCATACAACACCACATATTTATATGTAAATTAAATGTTTAGGTTAGTAAATAATGAGAAGCGAGGAACTTTTACAAATATAAGCGATTGCGATGAGTATAGCCCGATGATGTCCCTCGGCTATTCTTCATTTCTTAATGTGTCTTAAAGTAAACATTTGTTTTACATCGGATTCTCACCAAATCATTTCATATAGCCATTGCTATAATAATTTAWTATTTAAAAAAAAAATTAAAGAATTTTATTTTTGTGTTGCTTCTTTAAAATGAATATTAAATTATTACCATACTTCTTTTTAAATGCAGAGCGATGAATGTTTTGATTTTACAATGATGTATATTTATATATTTTTTTTTTGTGTTTCATCACCTTTTGGGGCAGTAAAAATCCTTGGATTTTTTAAATCATTATCCTTACTGGTAGTATAGTTAATCAAGGGGGGATT